GGATTTATGCTTATTTATCATTTATCTTATGTCTATCATTCTAGTTCATATTTTCTATGCTTGTTTAGTGCTTTGATCATGAGCTTGGTACTTTAATAAACAGTTGTTGGTTTATTTCTTTAGTTTAACATTGAATCATTGAATTTACTTAGAACAAGAGCTTTATGATGGTAGAAATCATCTCTAGTTTATGAATCATAACTCCTTTATGGATTTGTAAGTATTGACATCCTCTATAAATTGGAGATTTCTTCATTCTTAAGGCTAATCAACTTCTTGGGTTCAATTGATTCAATTAGATATTTGATTTTGATTAAGAAGGTGTGTTGTGGGCTTCCCCAACCTCCATAATACCTATGAGAATTCTTGGCATATCATGTTTCATGATTGCTATAACCAATTTGGGAAGAATGATAAGCTTCATGTTAAATCCTAATGATAAACACACAAATGTTTATTGTGTTGAATTGCCTTGGTTTACCAATTCTCTTCAATATTTGAGCATCTCACTTTCTTGCTTAATTGCAAGTTTTCAATTATTCAAGTCTTTTAGTTTTCAAGCAATCATAACCCCCCTTTTAGTTTACTTGTAGTTAGGTAGTTTATTTACAATAGTTCTTTAGATTGCATTGGTGATTGAATACAACCGTTTCCCCGATGATCGATAACCCTTTTTACCATTATATTACGTTTTATTTGCAAACAAATGGTGTAATTTGCTTGGTGGACATGACATCCCACCAAATAATATTAAATAAATACAAAAAAAATCTACCTAAATATAAATTATAATTGTTTGGAAAATCAATTTGTTTCATAAACACAATATGTACTTATTATATTTTATAAATATATTCATTTTATAATGAATTTTTGAATCATGAAAACACATATAAACGAACTTTGTATATTACATACCTTTAATGGAGTTATGGTTTTGGGATTTAAAAAAAAATATTCAATAAAAACTTACTTTTATGGAGAACAAGTTACGAGATTATTGAAAAATAAAATTATTAAACATTAAATTTTTTGGATAATATCTCATCCTTAATAAATATGAAAGACTATGAAATATTTTAAAGGGACCAAACTATGGGAACTTTCTTACGTCTGCCTTTATAGGTTGTTGAGGGTATTCTTCAGTGAGATTGTCTTTGTTGGTAAGTGTCCAATTAAGTTTCAAAATTTCGAAAATGATTTTGATCATATTTTTCTCGGTTCAAACTGAGTTTTCAATAAAAAATTATGCAACTTGACATAATGAGTTTAACCGATCCGAGTATGACTATAATTGGACCAAAATTGATTAATATCTAAGTCTTTTAGCCGAGTTGGTCAAACTCGCTTCGGTTGGAGTTCGAGTAACTTGCTAAGTATTTAGTTGAATTGGTCGAATTTTACAACCATGTAACTAATAAATTTTTAGTTCTAACCTTATAAAAGATGTCTTTCTTTTCATACTTTTAACCTAATAACAATATTTAACATAAAGTTTTTAATTTAGTTAGAAATTATTATTTAAAAGATATCAATAATGACTTAGTTATTTTTAACAACTTACATTTCTTTCTATTATATTTACATAACTTTGTGTATGTACAACTCCCAAGTTCCAACATTGTATCTTTTGATATAACTCAACATAATGATAACATTTAAAATCAATCTTAGATTTATTATAAAATTATTGTTTGATTGTTAATAACTCCCACTGTCCTCTTTGCATATGAGCTCTCTCTTGCGAAAGACTCCCCTTAGTGATGCGAAGACCATGTTCTCACTTGGTCTGTAGAACAAGTATCAAAAGGACTTTTGTGGATAGCCGATGAAAATACATCGCTCACTTCGAGGTTCAAGATTGTTGCGAGTCTCTCAAAAGCTTCACAACCCCAAACCTTGATATGTTCCAACGATGAAACCTTCAATATCCATATCTTGTGAGGTGTTTTGGAAACCTTCTTTGTTGGAACAAGATTAAGAATGTGTGCTACAGTCTCTAAGGTATACCCCCAGAATAAGATTAGAAGTGAAGTCAGACTCATTATGGAACGAACCACGTCTAACAAGGTTCAATTACGCCTCTCAGCACACAATTAAGTTGTAGTGTCCTAGGGGGTGTTAATTGGGAAACAATTCCACATTCCTTGAGGTAGTCGTGGAACTTGATACTAAGATACTCACCACCTCTATTAGATCCGAGCATCTTGATCTTCCTGCCTAATTGATTCTCGTCTGAACTTTTCAAGGGTTTCTGACTTATGATTGATTAAGTAGATATATCTATATCTGCTATAATCATCGGTAAAAGTCAAATAAAATCTATTTGCATCCCTTGTGGTGGATTTAAAGGGCCCACACACATCTATGTGTATGAGCTCCAACAATCCTTCACCTCTTTCACAAGAACTAGTGAAAGGTGATTTAGTCATCTTTCCAAGTAAGGAAGTTTTGCATGTATCATTTGACATTAAGTTAAATGATTCCAACACTCCATCCTTTTGGAGTTAGACAACGCGTTTCTTGTTGACGAGTTCAGGATGATAATGCCACAAACATGTTTTGTCTAAACCATTTGACGTATAAATTTGCAACACACTATTTCATCAACATTGTATCTTTTGGAGTTGGGCCCATCATACCTTCCACACCTACCCATATTTGTCTCAAGGATCATCACAACACCCTAACAATACCCATAAGCATAACCATACACTCAATCCTCACTCCCTAGAGGAAGGCTAAACATATCACAACTAGCCGACTGACCCCACACAACTCATCCTACCACTAACTGCCACATCATCCTTGAGTATATTGAAAACCATTTAAAATTCATTTTGTTTGAAAATCCTTTTTCCATAGTTTGAGACTAGATTCACATGAGTGTTTCTCCAATTTACTCAAACCAAGGCTCTGATACCAACTTGTAATATTCGTAAAATATTATTGAAAATTTAAACTTTTAAATCAACCTAAAACCATCATTGTTTACAAATTGTTTTCAAAATAAGTTTCACATTAGAGAAATCCCAAAATCATAAAATAAAATCATGAGGGGGTGCACGATCACACCCTCGCCTTCCCACGATCCTCTGAGGTACTTGAAACATAATCCAAAACTATAATCTCAAAGCTTAGTAAGTTTCCCCCCAAATACCACCACAATACATAATCATAAATATCATAACAACAACACGCATACAAAACCTTCAACATGTCTGGACCCCCGCACTCGGCCTTCAGCCCGTTTTGATCGTTCTTCGGGCCTTTGGCTTGACTGGTCTATCTTATAAGCATCCAATCTATCCGGGCCGCCCTGGGTCTATTAGCCTTCAACACAAAGTAAGACAGTCTCAACCCAACCACACACATGTCGAAATATACATAACTTATAAACATATAATCAATCAACAGACAAGCACATATCTTACAGATCAATACGCATAACATTATCCTATCCACCAGGATACAGATCTAACATATCACTATAATACTCAATCATGCAATAATCATGATACCCATTCCAAAAGGGCTGGCCATAGTGCCTTCGACCCAACAAGTATATTAAGGAACACTCATCTCACAAGTAGTGCTGAACTGATAAGATCTAGTTTCGAATCTCAGCTCCCGACTCAAATGCCTACAACCATCATGTGACCAATTCCATCAAAACCCCAAAATACCCAAAATGACCTCAAAAGTCAAATTTAATCAACCATGATCAAAGTCAAACTTGGTCAACCGTGGTCAAAGTCAAGTAAACGGTCAAGGTCAACAGTCCATGTTGACCCAACTCGCCGAGTGCACCAATAAATTCGCTGAGTTTCTCCAACAATTATGAATCGCGACAAATCAAAACAACATGTCGAGTTGGACTAACAACTCGTTGTGTTAGTTCAAATTCTAGGAGCTTAATAAATTATGTCCTTTTTTTTTTATTTTTTTTATTTTATCAATCTAAGGCTTCAAAATGTGGATCTGATACTCTGGAGCTGGAAAACCATGTAAATCTGTCAACTTTATGTTCATACATGCCAAAAAAAGCTCTAGAACTCAAGAAATGCTTAATTAAGGACTTGATGCATGAAGGAGACCTAAAACCTAATAAAGCTTGCAATTTTAAGCCAAATGAAACCACAAAATGCCCAGTTCTACCGTGACAACTCACAACCCATGAAATGCTCAACACCTTGAACAATCCATCGATGAGCCAATAACCAAAAGAAATGTGTTTCATTTTCCACACCTTTAAAATTACAAAAAATCCTGTTAAAAGTAGTGTACATATAGTTGTGGTTATCCATGGCTTCAACCCACTACAAGAAACTGGACCTATAGGGACGACAAATGTCGTCTCTGTAGGTTAAAAATGTCGTCGCTATAGGTGGCCGGGAGGACATGTCGTCCCTACAGCTCTCGTCCTCATAGCCCCGTCGCAATAGATATTTTTGGTTGTCGCTATAAATATGGTCGCAATAGGTATCCTTTAGAGACGACATGTCGTCCTGTTTTGGTTTGTCGCTATACGTTGTTGGTCTCCATAAATGAAGCTATAGAGACGACATGTCGTCTCTATTGGTATATGTATAAACACAACATGTCGTCTCCATAGATAGAGATATAGTCGACTCACCTTAGCCCTTAGCGACAACATGGCGTGGTGGTAGATGCATCTGTAGAGACGACATGTCGTCTCTATAGACCCACCTATAGAAACAACATGTCGTCTCTATAGGTATGCCCATATAGCTGCTCATTTTTCTCTATAATTTCCCAGTTCTCATATCACAAAATTGCTAAAACAGTAAATTTACAAAATATATAAAATGGTAAATTTAACTGCAAAACATTAATATTCGATACAATCTCAAAACACTACATTATTACAAATATAATTAATAACTTTTATATTATTAAAAATATAATGTAATAAAAAACTTACATTAAAGAAAACAAATAATCATATGACATTTCTGTCTCAATTTATAAAAATAAATTTAAATGATGATATCAGAAACTAAAAGAATATCACCATCCATTGGATGACGAATCATGCTCACTGCTTCTTCCTTAATGGAAGTTACTTCAGTCTGCACATATAAACACATTCTGAGTCAATATATACACTTGCAGTGTTTAAGTTAATCCACAAGTAAATAAAATGACAGGTTTACCCCTGCGACAGTTTCCATGTGTTTCACAACTGCAGCATATACTGTTCTCTGTTTTGTGGGGGAAGCATTAGCAAGTGCAGAAGCCAACGCACCAATCGGAATGGGTTGTGTGATTCCAGTGTCTCTCAATGCCATTCCACCCATGTCATACGGAACAGAAACCATTCCCCCACCTCCAATTCCGCTCATGGAACCATCTGGAACATTCTGTCCAAGGGGTAACGGTACATCGTCCCACGAAGATTGGAATTCATTTGTGATTCCAGTGTCTCAACGCATCATCTATTATTAATTTGTTGTAATCAATCTCAATTAATTAATTTAATTATTAATATCACTGAAATTTTTTTAAAAGAGATTAGAATTCTAACCTGTTGCTGCATTAGGGTTATGGGCTGCTGGTTTTGCTGACCTGGACCAGTAGCACGCCTGCCACCTGGGTGTTGAACTTGTTGACCTTGCTGCACCATTGGCATGAAGAAGTTTGGCATTGGGGTGCCACCTGGATGCATACCTGGCACGAGTTACTGTTGATACCCAAATCCAGGCTGTACATGATTTTTTTAAAAAAATTGTTTAGTTTTGAAAAGATCTTTACAAGAACAAAATATTCAACACCATGAAAAATCTTGAAACATGATTATAATAAAAAGAATAATTTTTATTAACTGATGTTATTACCTGTGGAGGAATGAATGTAGGCTGAGCTTGACCATAGAATATATGTTGACCTAAACCTGTCCCACCAGGTGGATACATTGGCATACGTGGTGCTACAGCTGGCGCCATTGCAATTGGACGCATCTGTGAGAATTGTGCCTATATAGAAAAAGGGAAAAAATTGTCATAAAAATGTTTATATTGCATAAGAAGTAAGAACATATGTCTCAAGTCTCAACATACCCACCCTTCTGTCTTTCTTACGCTATGCAAGTGCCACATAAAGTCAGACTTCATAGATAGAGAGAAAATGTAAAAACTCAAATGATACAAAAAGAATATTTACCCCTAATGCCTCTTGTGTATCCTTGTTTTCCTTACAAAGATGAAATCTGGAGATGAATATTTGAAAACATTGTCATTAATAAAGAATATAAAGCTTCAAAAGTAAAACATCGTCATTAATGAAAGGAAATAGGATGCTATAATAAACAAATATATGAAAGTATTGAATGTGGACATGTCTTCCAACAAACTAACTGGAAAGATCCCATCAGAGCTCACCGATCTTCCATTCCTTTCTGTTCTTAATCTATCATACAATCAATTAAAAGGAAGAATCCCAACAGGCTCCCAGTTTCAGACTTTTGATGGGGATACCTATGGAGGAAACAAGGGATTATGTGGGTTTCCTCTGAATAAAAGATGCAAAACTTCAGTGGCAGTATCATTACCACAAAAATCCCGAGAATCAAATGATGATGGGTATGATTGGCAGTCCCTATTCTATGGAATGGCAGCCGGGTCTGGATCATTAGCTGTTTTAGCGATCCTGTATTCCCTTTTCAAGAAAAGTACAACCAGACAATGACACTTGTCTGAAGTCTCCGTTCTTAAAATTGTGAGTTTTGTTGTATAAATTTCCCTATTTTCATTTCCATAAATTTTCAATTTGTATCTAGAGTCAGAATGTAAGTTCTTGAGGTAAGAGAAAAGTTTGTAATATCTATTTAGCTTACTTAACTTCACAATTACTGATCTGCAAATCATGAATTGTAAACTGATTCATACTCCCATGTTTCTTGAACATAGCCACAACCTGGTTGCAAGTTTTACAAGCTATAATAGACAGTACCTGAGGAACTTTCCAAGATGCTGGATCTGAACCTCTACTGTCATAAGGAGTCTCATCTCTTCCTTTCCTCTTCTTATTACCTCTTCCTCTTTCATTATTTTCCAAAGATAGTTCCCATCTTTGGAGAATTGAACCTAAGGGTAAAATGGTCATTTTTTAAACCATGATTAAATATAAACATGCATATATATATATATGTATATATATATGTATATGTATATATATATATATATATATATATATATATATATATATATAGCTGGCTTACTTACATGTGTAACCCCACCTTCTTGACCATGTAGGACATATAAGAGCTCCATATTATCTTCTCTATGTATTGCTATAGTTTGACTATAAGACCCTGTAGCAAGCATCCCCGTATGACTTGGAGAAAAGGAAATTAATAATATGATACTTGAGAGCAAGGAAGAAAGCTCATTATTAGTGAAATACCCAAAATACCCTTGTAATTAACCACACCAACCTGATTGTCCTTCCTAGTTTCCTTGGATGGTTGAATGCTGTTGGAAATCTCTACCAGGGCGATGAATATCAAATATCCTGATGGATCTGTTGCATCCAGCAAATATCCTGAATCAAATAATTTGATATTTATATAGAAACCAACTTTCATTCATTTCTTTTTCTTATTAAGAAATTATACTTTGAAAAGTCTGACCAATTATGGCATTGTGGATTTTTTTAAGTACAATGTTGTAACAGAAAGAAAGGAATGTATGGTTCTATAAGAAACAAATAAAATAAAGATGAAAGAAAATGTGTTGTAGTCCTTCAAAATAATATAAGCTTACTTTGTTCCTGAGGGGTTGAAACCAATTGAGAAGGCAGCAGTTGTTTCATCCATGGCATCATATGCTCAATATGTGCAACGTAGCTGTAATTCCATGTTGAATCAATCAAGTGTTAATAAATTAATACCACAATTATTATCCATGACATGAATAATAATAATGACTAATATAAAGATTCAATGATATAAATCAAGACCAAAGCACATGCTATATTCAATTAGGTGCATTTAGTTAAATATTAAGATTAAAGAATATGATGAAGCACCTGTCCTGTGCTATAAGATGAATAGGATGGTTACGAGTGGTGGTTGCAAACACACAAGAGAATGGATCTACAACACAATCAGAGTAACATAATTCTTGTTAACTGTTGATTTACATGCGAAGTATCTTTGGATAGTCTACTAATAATGAAAGAAAAAGGATATCAACAAAAGAACCTGAAGCAGACATGTAAGTATGCATTTGATGAGGATTCAGGTCCATCTACTGTATCTGTAACCAAGAACTTGAGTTTCTCTTTAAAAAAATTATGAATTGCCTGAAGGGAGCAAATTATTAGTAAATTACACATACACATACTATTGATTAGCTATAATTGATGAAAAGAAACATTGATAAGAGAGATTCCTACTGTTCGATGAACTTTATCAGAACTTGGAGAAAGAACAATGGAGGTATTGGTAACTATAACTCCATCTTCATCATTTGAATTTATCTTATCTATAAACTCCTTCAGGGAGTTGGCATCAGAGTCACCAACTAGGGCTCTAAACGATTCAATTTCACTAAAATGGTTACCATTTGGTTGATTTGTAGTCTTTGATTCATGTTCCTCTGCTGTTTGAATTGAAAAATGTAGACCGTTAAAGTCAGATGTAAGGATGAATGGATATGATTGTGAATTAGATGATAAGAGATGGTAACAGACCTCCATTGGTGCATCTAAGGAAGTCAAATGAACAACATTTCCATCTAAATCCACTTCATTGACTATAAAACCAGAGTACCTGTAAACAAAAACGTAAAATCAAAAGGCTACTCTTCATTTGAATCAAATGTAAATTCACAACTGTTCCACGTTTATAGAATCATTACGAATGTCTGAAATGAAAGGAGAATACCTGTACTCCCAATTCTGAAAGCCTGATTTGTAGAGGATAAAATGAAGAGGCTCCTAATAATTGAACACTAACCTAGGTCGCCGGAGTGGGGCATCTATTCTTTAGAATTTGTAACAGGAGGTGAAAATGAAGCTGGTAGTTAGAATCGTCGGCAGTGAAGCTAATCGTCGGTGGTCTTCAGCAACTAACATGAGGACCGAGAGTTAGTAAGAAGATTTGCCGGAAGTAGGAGGTGAGGAAGTCGCCAGGGGTGAATTATCGATCGATCGAGAGACAGAGAGAGAGAGAGAGAGAGAGAGTGATGATTGAGCGTGCATGAATGAAACGAAGGGGATGCTCTCCTAATGTTGGGCATAAAAAGGTATGGGGACGACAAGTCGTCCCTATAGCTATCAACGTCCGAGCTTTATTTCCGTGAAGGGCGCGCTAAACACACATCCTTTCCCGCTTAACACACTGAGTCGAGAAGTCGTCGCTGTAGCCTCAAAAGTAAAAAAAAAATCATCAAATCTATGGCAACGAGATGTCGTCCCTATAGGTAGCCAATAGCAACGACAAATGTCGTCCCTATAGATCTCGTCGCTATAGATTCTTATTCTTGTAGTGACCCGACCCATACCCAGGAGGTGGAGTGCCAACCATATTGCATACATACACATGCACAAAGAAGAGAAAAACATCGTCGTCAATCTACAACTGTTACGCGAAGCAAACTATACAAATTACGTAATCATCACCCTTCCATAGCGGTAAAGATTCTATTTCCAAGATACCCTTTTGACATTTTCATCATTTCATGTAAAGTTATTTGAGTTCCCAAAATCAAAATAATTGATTCGGAAGTTGTATAATTTTAATTTATTTTTCAGTTGCATTTTACAGGACTCTTCCGGGAAGGTTTTGATCGATCTGATAAGCTCCGATCCGAAGTCATCATCCCCATCTTCTTCCAAAACGGCACAAGTTTCATCTCCATCGATTCAGTCGCCTCGGAGCCCTTTTAAGAAATCGGCAACACCAGTGACGATGGGGGATCGGAAGTCCAAGAGATCTTCGATGCATACTCAAAACGCTGCCGTATCTTCTGGTAAAATTGTTGTTCGTGTTCCTGATGGGAAAAAGGTAAAATTTTGTATTATATTCTTTTGATTTCTTCAACTACAATACTATTATATATCAATTCAATGTAGGTGTGTGAATAGTTATTAGAAAAAAACTATAACGACGTTAGTAATTCTCCACTATGGTTACACATTTATCGTAGGAATTAAATCTCATATCATAATAACTATTCTAACTTACTCCTATGAGAAATATCATATCATCCATAAATTTCACTGGATTAATTAAATAAAGATAAAGATTTAGTTTATTGAGTAAATCGATTTCTGTTTTGATGTTTTCTTACATTTACTTGTATACAGCCAGTTTCTTATGCACTACTTGCAAGGAGTATCCATGAGCTAGCTGCTACATCAGACCAAGTATGAATCCTTAACCAAATTCATTGCATTTAATCATGCTCCACCTCTTAACATATCTGATTCAGTTTCTTTGAATTTATACAGAAAAAGTCTCAAAGGCAGTTAGTGTATCATGTGTTCCCAAAACTTGCAGTCTACAATTCTGTTGATCCATCCCTCGCTCCTTCTCTTCTCATGGTGCGAATTTGTATATATTTATTATCTCATTTCAAATGCAGTTTGTTTATAATCATGATCTATCATCTATACTATAATGTGAACAAGTGAAAGTTTAATACTTGTTTCTTCATGGGTACTTGATTATATATGTAGCTTGGTCAGCAATGCAAGGATAGGACTATTCTCCGTTATGTATATTACTACTTGGCAAGAATATTGTCAGATAGTGGTGCTCAAGGGCTAACTTCAGGTGGTGTGATTCCTACACCTAATTGGGATGCTTTAGCTGACATTGATGCTCTTGGTGGTGTTACTCGAGCGGATGTTGTACCTCGAATAATAGATCGGCTTGCTACTGAAGCTCTAAATGATGATGTTGAATGTAAGTAGTTCCCTAGTTCAAATCACAAGTTTCTAGTCTTTTAAATCTTTTTTGATCTGAAGTGTAATTGTTAAAAAAGAACTAGCTAGATTCTTTCATTAATATCCGAGTGATGAGTGATGATAATGCAATATCTTTTTGAAGTTCATGCACGGAGATTGCAAGTAGTTAAAGCTCTTACATATGCACCTACAACTAATCCTGTGATCTTGTCCAAGTTGTATGAAATTGTCTTCGATATTCTTGACAAGGTTTGTCCATATCAATCTCTTTTTAATTCTTAATAGTTTTCACATGACATAATATTTCTCATGTATGTATGTCTAATGTCTTCATATTCTAGGAAACTTAACGTGCATGTTTCAGACACATTTTTTTTCCCTCTTTGACATTTTCATGTATTGATCAGGTTGCTGATGCACCTGATATGCGTAAGAAGGGCATCTTTGGGGCAAGTAAGGAGGTAAGTGTGAAAAAATGTAGCTTGTATTGCTAGGGCGTTTATTGTCATTCATAATAGTTAAATAAAAAGTAAACTAAATGTCGCTTTCTTGAATGATCAGTCTATAATTGGGAGTAATCTGCAATATGCTGCTCTAAGTGCCTTGCGAAGACTTCCTCTGGATCCAGGAAATCCTCTTTTTCTCCATCGTGCTGTGCATGGGTTGGTTTGTCACTATTGGTTTTGAAATGTTTTATTTTTAAAATAGTTACAAGGATAATAGTAATAATGCCTTATGCTTTTCGAAATAGTTTTTTTATACCAATTAATGATATGAGAGTGATACAACTTTGTCATTCATACATGTCTTGCTACCCTCATTGTTCATGACATCATGCTTTTGTCATACTATTGTTTTTGCTAATGTAGTTAGCATCAGTGACAAATATCTAATTTGTGAAAATAATGTAGCATGGAGCCCACTCCACCTTCTTACCCTCTACCAGTGTAGGACAAAATCCCATTTGATATTAGCCAACAAATCTCAACATGTTGTTTTTGGCAATTTGTCAATTTGTCAATTAGTACTTGGTCATGCAGTTCTATATTCTATGTAGAAGCAATTCGTCAATTTAGTTATTAGTATTGAGTCATGCGATTCTATAATCTAGGTGGATGTAATTGATATATGAAAACAAAATACACCTTTTAAGAAACACGACTTCCGTATTGCTAACACCATTAAAATAGTTAACTTCATGATTTCATATTTACTGCAGAATTTCATTTGCTGATCCAGTGGCTGTTAGGCATGCATTGGAATTGACTTCTGAGCTAGCTATAAAAGATCCATATGCTGTTGCCATGGCTTTAGGTAATATCATAAATAGATTTATATATTAAAAACTTCATTTTGATCACTCCAATAATGTTTCCTATTGTAACCTCTAGATTTATTCTTGTGTTTCTGAAGCTTCATTGTTTATTCATCTAATGCAGGGAAGCTCGTCCAACCTGGTGGTATATATTGATCATACGTCTCTCCATTATCATCATTATCGTTTTATTATTATTATTTTTTTTAATATTTACACTTTCCTTTATTTTCCTTCTGAACTTTATAAATTTAGGATCTCTACACGATGTTTTGCATTCTCCTGATGTTCTTGCTAGGGTTGCTCTGGCAAGGTTATGTCATACAATATCTCGAGCCAAGTCATTAAATGGTCTGTATATGCTTTTATTACATACTTCCACTCATATCACTGAAAAAAGTTAACTGTATAATGTTGGTTTTACAGAAAGGGCAGACATTAAATCTCAGTTCAATGATTTGCTGTATCAACTCATTATCGATCGGAGTGCCACTGTTTGTTTTGAGGCCATCGCTTGTGCACTGGGAAAATCAGATAATGCAGACAGGTAAATAGATGAATTACAACCTAATCACATAAATAACAATTAAATATTATCTTCACAAACAATGAACTGAATTTATTAAGTCATGTATGCCATTTGATCAACTGTGCGTCCATTTCAATTCCATAGTAAAAGGTAATGCGACATTTCTTTTTGATTTATAATCTAATCAAAAGCTAACATGAATATTGCACAGTGATAGATGGTGTGGAAACCCCTCAATTAGGGTTGCATGTATAGATATCAATATATAGGTAAACGTATTACAAAGGAGCCCCTAGACTATATACAATGAGATAAATAGAGAACTATAGATTAACACACCCTCGTAGTTGGAATAGGAGAATCTCGGATGTTCAAACACTGTTTTGAAAACCGGACCGGACCGGCCGGTTTAACCAGTTCAACCGGGAACCGGTGCTGGTTCCGGTTCTTAAGACTTTAAAAACCGGTAGCATATCAAACCGGAAAAAACCGCCGGTTTTCATTGAACCGTGGTTGAACCGGACCGGTTTAACCGGCTAAAAAACCGGTTTTTTTGAAAAAATTTGATTTTCTTTTATTTTTTAAGCCTTTAAAAAACTCAAGGGGCGGCCCATTTGATAGCAATAATACTAGAACAACACTCATTTGATTTTATAAAGACCGAGTTTGCTATCTAGATTGTACTTACCGACGATGTGGGAAATAATATCTTTATTTTATGGATAAACTATATAATTCTTTATTTTTATAAACAAATTGTCAGCTCCATTTTTATGTATCAACCAATGTGGGATTAGTTTACATTGCTTTACATAAAAATTTGTCAAACTCCAATATAAAACCATGATATATATATATTATTATATATATATATATATATATATATATATATATATATATATATATATATTATATATATATATATATATATATTCCGGTTCATCCGGTTTTTTGGGCTGGTCCAACCGGTCAGACCAGTTGAACCATCGAACCGATAAGACAACCGGTTCAATGTCCGGTCCGGTTTTCAAAACTTCAAACTATTTCTAAAATCCAAAAATAACTGAGTGGGTAAGCCCTTTGTAAAAATGTCTACATGCGGATAAGCGGAAGGAACATGTAAAACACGTACATGACCAATCACAACACGCTCCCTTAAAAACTGTAAATCAATTTCCACATGTTTGGTTCTTTGCTGCTGTACTGGGTTA